ACATGATATTCACATGCTACAAAATGTTCTTATTTTGATTTTTCTAACCATTTAAAAGTGCAAAAGCTGTTTTTAACCTGGTGTGTCAAAGTTTGCTGGCCCTTCTGTTCTAAACTAAGAAGAGAAAGTGTTGTACAATGAATTACTGCTTCATGGGATTATGGTTAAGGAATAGGTGTTTGCTTTGCAATATGACTCCAGTACTTCCTAGGTGTGAGAATTGAGGCAAGCTGTTTGATCTCTGTTCATATACAAAATGGGAACCATTATCACCAGTTTCAAAAGTTGTTGTGGACATCACTATACTCTGCTAATCCTAAAAGGCATATTTTTTAATATCTCCAAAACTAGTCTTTAATCGATTGTCTGACAATTGCTGTTGGTCACGTGACAGTCATCACCTATTTGTCATTGCCTGTACCTGTGGGAACCTGGCCATGCATATTGTTGTAACTTAATTGACTTATGTGCATCATCTAACAAAACTTTCCTCCAAGAGATTCCCCGAGGACTGGAGGAAATAGGGAGGTGGGCCTAGCTAGGAGTCACCTAGGATAGACATCCACAAATCTGTGTATGTTAGGTTTTGTTTTTTTTTTTTAATTTCATGAAATATGCCAGAAAAGTGAATGAATCAGCTCCCTCAAAAGCATAGTGACCTCTAATTTCTCCATTAATCCCCAACATTTCCATCAACAAGTCATGGAAGGGCTATTTTAGGGAATGAAATGATTTCTGTTTTTTTCTGATAACTGCCCAGTGATACCTGGTAGAATCGAGAAAGCTCTAACAAGAAAACTTGCAGAATGGGTGTCAGGAATTTAAGGAAAACCTCAGGGACAAAAGTGATTATGGTTTTTCAAAAAATGCCACATCACTAACACTTTTCATGGCACAGAGGGTGATACTGAATGGAGGGAAAAAAAGAAACTGCCGTCAAGGACTCTTGAATCAAAAAAGTCACTTGGGGTGCCTGGCTGGCTCAGTCCAAGGAACGCACGTCTCTTGATCTCAGGGTCATGAGTTCGAGCCCCCACGCTGAGTATACAGATTACTTTTTTTTTTTAAGTCACTCAGAAGAGTCATATCCTGAATGTGAAGAAGTTTTAGGAATGTTTCAGTTTGGTAGTTTTACTTTTTATGCTCATACGAGTGGTTTATGGCAAACAAAATATCTATGTCTAAATCAGTCTTAAAAATTCTTTTAATACTTACAGAATACACCATCTGTGAAGAAAAGATTGTGCCATAGTTTAACTGCCAGCTTGTTTTTCTTTCTTAGGGGTTTGTGAAACAGTGGCGTGTCTTTCATTCTGTATCTGAAATTGCGTGAAACACAGCAAATAAGATTCGAGCTCCCAGATCAGCCCTGTGCATGAGTAGGAAGCAGGCTAGGCTGCTTTAATCAAGATACCGCCAAGTGATGTGGACCTTAGCGTCCAGAGGGAGGCAGACAGGGAAGGTAGGATGATGACCCTATGATGCCTGCTTACTGCTCCAGCACCTGCCTCCCAGCCAGCACGAGGGAAAGGGGGCCAGGGTGCTGGTGGATCTTTCTCTTAGCCGCACGTTCCTCGCCTCCGTCTGGCCAGTGCTCACAACCTTGGTGGCCAACAGTTAATGTCATGAGCCCATCCAGTCACAGGTGAACCGGGAAATGCGCTCTCTAGCCGATGCCATGTGCAGCTCACGCTCCGAATTCTCTTAAAGAGGAAAATGAGTGGAAGTGTTCATAGGAAGTACCCAGTCATCCAAACCATCCTCAGTTGTGTCCATACTACTGTTACTATTATATTGAATGTATCCACGAAATTACCAGTGCTGTAGGTTTATTAAACTGCTCTGTGGTGCTTTCAGCCTGGGCTATTTCTCCGAATACTGATGGCTGTCCTTAGAAGACACTGTTTTGGAAATTTTAACCCTGTGTGTGCACTGGTACCTCTTTTGCCTTTGAAATCAATAAAGGGGCTCTGCATTCAGGGATGTCCTTAAATTGGTAGTTTTAAATAACCTTGTCAGCGGCTGCCTCTGAGACTCTGGCGTGGCCACAGCTAGCTGCAAGGGAGACTGAGAAATGAGGTCATTATTCCAGCAGCCTTATGCCCAGTGGACACATTATTTCCCAGCCAAAGGGAGACCAACTTGTTGTAGAGTGAGTGCTAGTGTAACTTGGGCACCGGCATGCGAGAGCACCTGCCTCTGAAGTTCCCAGACCGGCAGGTTCAGCTACTCACCGCTGACAAAATCCAAAGGCAGAGAGACAAGGGGTGAGACAAGAAGGAAATTTATTTCAGTGAGGCCAACACCGGGAAGATAGTGGACTAATATCTCAAAAACTGTCTCCCAAGTGCTGAAAATACTTCTAGGTTTATATAAGGAAAATGTGGGACTCAGGTTGGTGGGTACAGGCAGGTGGGCGGTCAAGGTCGGGTCGTTGTCTTGGGGTCAATCACCGGTGGGGTCTTGCTGGCCCAGGGCAGTCCTTATTGCTTGAGGGGGTGGTTTGTGTTCCCCCCCATCTAGGGATGCTTTGCCTTCCAAGTCTTTTGCCTGAGTTAAGAGATAAGCTGGGGGCGCCTGGGTGGCTCAGTTGGTTAGGCGACTGCCTTCGGCTCAGGTCATGATCCTGGAGTCCCGGGATCGAGTCCCGCGTCGGGCTCCCTGCTCGGCGGGGGGTCTGCTTCTCCCTCTGCCCTCTGCCCTCTCGTGCTCTCTGTCTCTCGTTCTCTCTCAAATAAATAAATAAAATCTTTAAAAAAAAAAAAAAGAGATAAGCTGGAAGGAAGAATTTCATCAATTAGAAAGTTAAAGGTCAGGGGCGCCTGGGTGGCTCAGTCGTTAAGCGTCTGCCTTCAGCTCAGGTCATGATCCCAGGATCCTGGGATCAGCCCCGCATCGGGCTCCCTGCTGGGCAGGAAGCCTGCTTCTCCCTCTCCCACTCCCCCTGCTTATGTTCCCTCTCTCGCTGTCTCTCTCTCTCTCTCTGTCAAATAAATAAATAAAATCTTAAAAAAAAAAAGTTAAAGGTCAAAATGGAGGTAAATGAAGTCTTTTCCAGTAGTAGATACTTTAATCTACTAGTTACATTATAAATTCTTACAATCTTCTTCAGTAATGACACATGGCAGCCTGGCTGGAGAGTCACACATTCCTTCTAGCTGGAAATTGACAAGGCAGCTTTTCTCCCAGGAGTGAGAAAATCTCTGATTAGAAACATTTATGCTACTTTTTAGATCTGTTAAGCCTGGTGACTGCTTTCGTGCTTACTTTACTTGTCACTGTAGGAATCATGAATAACCCCAAAGAATGAAACCTCACACTTACAAGAGGTGGGGAGAACTGGCCAGCTTTATTTGCTTTGTTGGTGACAGGTTTGTGCTTTTATAGAAGTGTTTGGTCCCTTCACGCTATTGAGGGTGGTGGTCAAGGCTATGAACAGTTTTTTGGGGAAACTGTTGGTGTCAAATGAGTATTTTTTAGTGTCCTAGGGTAGCCATAGGACACCTGTTTCACGGATAAGGCTCATGGAGTTGGTTAGAGATTCAGTAAACTGATCATGCAGGTCCGTTGGAGGCCCACGTCCTGGTGCATGGCTGTTTTCCCTCTACCCAAGCCTAAGAGCCCCCTGGCTCACTTGTTGAAAATGCACGTTCCTGGGCCTCACCCAGCCCTGTCGAATCTGACTTTCTGGGGTGAGACACAGAAACTTTGCTTCTTACCAAGCTGCCCAGGTGATCCTCAAGCACATTGCCAAAAACCACTTGGGTCCTACGCTCCAGTGACTTCCAGAACCAGGCAGAAGGACCCACTCGGCCCAAATTAACAGTCATGAAAGGCAGGGCAACAGCGTGGCATGTGGCCCTCAGCCACACATTATTGGACAGGAGATTTTAGTGCTCATTTATAAGGCAATTTGTTTTTTGTTTTTTTAAAGATTTTATTTATTTATTTGAGAGAGAGAGAATGAGAGACAGCACAAGAGGGAAGAGGGTCAGAGGGAGAAGCAGACCCCCTGCTGAGCAGGGAGCCCGATGCGGGACTCGATCCCGGGACTCCAGGATCATGACCTGAGCCGAAGGCAGTCGCTTAACCAACTGAGCCACCCAGGCGCCCCTATAAGGCAATTTGTAAACTTTCACATAGTCTCAGTTATTCAACACAATAATACAGTTTTTTCTCGGAGAATTAAGTTGCTTCAGCCAACTGTTTAGAAACAAAACACGAAAATCTTCACAGGCCACGTACAGTTGCATGCCTCCCTATTCTGCCTCGGGTAGCCCAGTGGCAGGTGGAAAGGCTCATCCTGGTTGAGTTTTGAAGCCTTTCTGTCTCCTGAGCACCCCTCTCTTTTCCTCTACCTACTGAAGAGCAGCTTCCTCCAGTATGCTCAGCAGCTTCTTTGACAACTGGGCAAAACTGAGCAATGCCCTTGTGCCCTCAGCCATGTACTGCTGATGCTATCTGGCTGGAACTTCACCTTGTAGTTTTTGGAAGCTGTTCGGTGCACGTTAAGACCCTAACAGACAGAAAACAAAACTTAAAGACGGTCTTAACACAGGGCCTGGGTACTGCCTTGCTGAACCTTTTGTCTGTTATCATGAGAGAAGAAAAGCCAACTTCGTATGCAGGTGAGGACCACGTCACAGTGATGGGGGTGAAGGAGTCTGCAATCGCTCATCCCAGAAGACTGCAGAAGGAGCATGTGACTTGTACCACATCATCTAGGGCTGCCCTGCCTGGGCTGGCACCCCTTGTCCTCCTCCCACCAGTGGTACTCAAGGTGGTGATGGCACCTGCTGGGACTTTTAGGAAGTCCAAATGCAGACTTGGGTGGCGGGGCGCCCCGAGGACTGACAGGCTCTCTCCGTAAGAGGCCTGGGGAGAGGATCATATTCTGATGCAGCCCTAGTGTTTCCGTTCCCATCCACCCTTCTCTTCCCCCACTTCCCTTTTCCTCTCCCTCCCCCGCAACCCTTCCTCCAACCTCCCCCTCCCTTCCCTCTGTTTTCTTCCCCACCCTCTCCCTTCACATTCCTTTGAATTCTGGGACCTAGGATTTATCCATGACCCACCCGTTTATCTGACAGCAAACCCCCTCCCCAGTCTCTGCTACCCTCCCCCCACCAATGTTTGCAGTCCCCATGGGACCCCCTAGGGATGGATGTGGGTGGAGGAAGGGGATTATTTAAAAAGAAACGCAACGGTTTTATTATAGTCAACTTGGAAAATACAAGAGAATTCACCCCTGGAAAATAATTGTTAACATCTAGTTTGCATGCCTCTGCTTATTTTTAAAATCAGATGGTCACAGTTTACTCTGTGTTGTACTTCAAGATGGTTATCCTGCCCCTCCTCGCCACACTTCCCACGCTTGGAGCGCATCCTTATGTCATCTAACTATTTTCACTTACAGGAACGAACTTTCTAGGAATATGTGTTGGATCGGTCCTTTCTAGTCATTAACAAAGACATGACTGTGTGTTGGTTTTCTTTCTCAATGCAGAGAAGTCATTCAGAATTCAAAAGAGGTTCTGAATTTATTGCAAGAAAAAAACCCTACCTTTAAGCCGGTGCTTGCTATTATTCAGGTAAGCTGAGACCATGGTTCCGTGCTCCTCTTTTAGGATGCCTTTCAATGTAGAAGAGAATTGTCTGCAGAAGACCAGGGCATTTCTTGTCACAAAAGTGGTCTTAACAGGGAGGAGAGGGCAGAGATGAAAATATGGTCATGTCCCTCTTCCTTTGGTCATTTTGCTTCTACCAGGTCACTGGTTAGTTACCTCCCTGCCTGAATGGGTCTTTTGTGAGTTGCTTTGAGAGGTTAGGAGGTAGGCACCCACATCAGTTGTGTTACATAGGACATTATTGTGTCCATATGTGCTCAGAGATGCTTATCAGATGTGACTTGAATGTGATAAGGGGAAAAGTTCCCCCTTTGTTTCTGTGGAAGAAGGAGGCTTGATGATCTTACTACGAAACCTGGTAAAGCCTGCCATAAGCCTGAAAGGCCACACGTCAATACATGTCAGAAGGACTTGGCATTTCATGTACATCTCTTGACTGCAGCCCCTTCGTTCTCAACTGTAGTTGGTGCTGTTTGCCCTCCTTCTTGGCACCCCTATGGGGTAACAGGTGCAGGGCAGTCAGGAGGTGAGCCAAGCCTGGAAGCTCACACAGCACAGCAGGTGGGCCGCCACCTCATTTTGGCACGCATGTAATGTGTCAGAATAGCATCCTGGAATGCCATCGGCGCTGTGATTTTCAAGACTGTGGAGCTATGCTCAAGTCACTTGCGTTCTTGGGGTCTGTCTCCACATCCCCTACAAAGCTAGGCAAGCCAGAAGGTTGAAAGAAAAGTGATCTGAGCCTGCACCTCCTGGGATTCTGCTTGCTGATGGGTTTCCAGCTACGGACAAGTCACCTAAAGCCCTGTTCGTGGTGTCCAAACACCCTTTAGAAAGGGTGCTGGCTGGGTGGCTACATGAGCCTTAGGAGGGCTATTACTTTTTAAAAGTAACATAATTTGAAAGCTGAGAATTGATATGTCAATAAATACCAGCTATTAGTCTCCTTCTGTGAGCAATAAGATTCTGCATTTCCTTTTCTTTCTAATAAATTGGATAATTTATAATCACAAAATTAGCCTCTGTATTACGTTTTGTGCTTTGTCAAGATATTTTTGTTGCTGTTACATTCTCCTTCTTACTCCCATCTCCAAAGGCAGGTGATGATAACTTGATGCAGGAAATAAACCAGAATTTGGCAGAGGAGGTGAGGATTGTCGAATTCTACAAATTCATCTTAATTTTTTGACGCTACATTCTCTCACAGTGACAGAACAACTTTGTGTTCCTTTTGCAGGCTGGTCTGAACATCACTCACATTTGCCTTCCTCCGGATAGCAGTGAAGCCGAGGTAACTACCACGGGCACTTGAACAGAGGGTGCTTTCCTCTTTAGACATAATATACCTGTTAGCATCTCTTAGTTGTCATTCGAAAAGATCAGTCTTGTCTTTGTGGCTGAATTCTTAGAGGGAAGAGTTCACTTTTCCCTCTAGTATAAATGCTCCTTGATCTCTTTGTCCCTTAATACGTGTTTCTGTTGAAGACTTGAGTTAGACTTGGTGACTTGGGTTGTGTTTTTTGGCCGCCGCAGCAGTGTCTAGTGGAAACTGTCTGGCTGTCGGGGTCTGAAGGACTAGTTCTGGTTTTGCCCTGTCGTGACGGGTTGTTGGTCCTTGGCCATTCCTTTGGCTTCCCTGTGGCGCAGTTGCCTTATTAAGAAAACAAAGGAATAGGAGGAGATAGTCGTCAGCGTCCTTTCCAGGCAGATGTTCCGGGAGTAACAGCCTTTGCAATTGTCATCTCAAGCCTGGGAGAAGCAGCCACCCCCATAAGCAGTGGTGAGGAAATTGGCGCACGGGCCATGCTAGCATTTGGCCCTTCTGTGACTAGCCTTTCTTCAGACGGGCTGTGGCAGTGAAGATTTGATTTGACTGTCCATGATGGAAAACGTCAAGTAACAGAATATGAAATAACACAGAAGTTTATTTTTCTCGTACGTAAGTAAAGTTTAGAAGCGGGCTGGTATTGTGGCATCCTGACAGGGTCACCAGAAACTTAGGCTCCTTCGATCTTGCTGCTCTATCGTCTCTTGGACTATCTCGTATCCAAATGGCGGATTCAACTCTGCAGATCACATCCACATTCTAGCCAGTGTCAAATAAATCCAGACTTAGTAAGGAGAGACATAATTGAAAAGGATTTTTGCAGTAGGGAGTATACTCTGACCATAAGATCTGTAATCCTCTGAGAGGTAGGCCAAAGGGTTTTTCTTTTACAGGGAGGGGTAGAGAAGGCCAGAAAGAACCCAGTGTGAGAAAGTGGGATGAGAGAGGACCTTGATGGGATGGCAGGTCAGAAGATGTTTTACCCTGAGGCCAGACTCTTCTCAGAAGGGATTGTCTGCTAACCAAGTGAAGGGTGGGTCAAAGTTTAGCAACCTAGGGGAAGGAAGGAAACTTAACATTTTCAGCATTTTGTTCAGATGGAGGCAAGTAGCTCACCTCATCATTTATGAGACAGTGAATGGGCATTTTTAGGGCCTGTACTTGGTTCTTTGCAGTACATAGAGGGTGGGGGCGCTTTTTTAGCCTTCCTTGTTTTCCCAGATCATGGGGCTCAGTTCAACAACTTCTTGTCACCAGCAAGAGAAAGGAAGGACAACGACAAAAGACAGGCCCCCAGTCTCTTCCCTTCAGGAGCAGTTTCCTGAAAGTCACAGTTATGCTTCAGTTATGGTTCCATGCCAGTGGCCTGAGCCTCATTGCTTGGCCACGAAGCAAGGAAGGCTGGGAAATAATAGTCTTTCCACCAGGTGGAAATCATCAAATGATCTAACATCTATTACAGCGCCTAAAAACCAAAAGTCTATTGCTGAAGAAGAAGGGAAACTGTATCTGGGCAAATCGTTTCTGCCACACTTGTCTTTGTAATATATTACAGATATTGACCCCTGACGTACCAGCATTAACAAATGCAGAGACATTTGTTGCCCCTTTGCAGAAGGACACCCATTGTCTGCATTTGGGTTGTTTGCCCCTGGTATTGCTATCCCTTCACCTTTTTTATTCCCTGACTTATTTTTTGATGGAGTCATCTATTCCCTATTTTTCTCTGACATTCTAGTAAATGTAAATTTGTATGGTGGTGGTATTATTATGTTGGAAAAGAGTAAGGATCTTAATTTATTAATTAAGATTTCGTTGTTGCGTCTGCCACATCCTAGGTATGGGTAACCACAGACCCCTCACTTCATTCTGGGCTCTCGTTCGATGTCACTCCCTCCGACCACCCCCAACCCGCCATTACTCCATTAGCCCTTTACCTTGCTTAATCTGCTTTAGTTTTCTTTACCATCATTTACCATTTCCAGAGATTATACCATTATTATTTTTCGTTTTCCCTCATGTCTTCCCCACTGGAATATAAGCTCTTGGGGGGCAGGCACTTTATTCACAACTGTATCTCCTGTCTTAGAACTGGCACAGAATAGGTACTCAAAACATGCAATATCTGTTGAATGAATGAAAGCATGGTGAATAAATGAAACAAAGTTTTCTTTCTGGTTTTTGTGTATCAAACAGCGTTTTCCTCTCTTACCAGGTAGAAATACCACAGTGATTTTTGCTGGACAGTGAAACAGAAGTGGTAACGCAACACTTCTCACAGTGAGACCCATATCCGTGGGCTGGTATCTCTTTTACTTATGAACGAATAATATTGTGAAGTGAAATGAATCCATATATTATCTCCTGGCATAAAATAGAGATAGAGAGATAGAGCATTTCTTATTGAAAGATACACCTAGCCATTCATTAGCTTTTACATTTTTACATTACCTTCCCAAGCTGTACTTTGGTCTTTTTCAGAAATAGTGAATTATTTTAGTGTTTCCTATAAAAAGGAGGTATCTGTGCTTCGAATTTATCAATCACAAGCCTTTGGAAATGCTTTCTGGGTCCATTCAGATCCAGGGAACATGAGGACTTGAGTGATGGCTTCTTGGGGTTGACAGTTGGGAAGGTTTTGTTGAACACGTTGCGTTTGAAACACAGGGTTGTCTGGGCCAGTTTGGAACTCTTGAGATTCGTGCCTCCTGGTCTCCCTGAAGGCTGGCAGTGTGTTTCACTCAAGTATAATCGTGGAATTATCTTTTGCCTAACTCAACGCTTGGTTTGGTTTGGTTTGGTTCTGTTGTGGCAGGGAGCAGCGCAATAAGAAAGATTGAGAAGTCACTAAAATTCTGCGCTGCTTTTGAAAGCTTTTATAAACATGATGAAAAGAGGAAATAGACTTTCTTTATTCTGCTTTACAGCAAGTCTTCAACAAGGAGTGAAAAAGAAATGATGCATTTTTATGAATCTGTTTTTTTTAATGTAAAGCTTCTTCTGTTAGGTCTTATTTTTGTAATACTGATTTTAGGGTTGTTGTTTTTTTTTTTCTCTGTAGATTATAGATGAAATCTTGAAGATTAACGAAGACACCAGAGTACATGGCCTTGCCCTTCAGATCTCCGAGAACTCGTTTAGCAACAAAGTCCTCAATGCCTTGAAACCAGAAAAAGATGTGGATGGGTGAGAAAATATAAAAGAAAAAATCAAGTCTTATTGCTAAATGAGCTTTTCTACCGTGACTTTTTTTTCCTTTTAGTTCCACTGTTTCAGCTGTGTCCGTAATTAAGAGTGGAAGAAATCCTTTAACTAGTTCAGGAATTTGAGGGCTTTTTAAATTCCGTATAAGAAAGTTACATATTTTGCAATGGGTACTTGCCCTTGGCTTGGGTGCCTTTCTGGAAGTAACGTCCTTCACATTGTCACATTCATTTCGTAACCTCCTGCCTGACTTATGGAGTCCTTGACCAGCCTTCCTCTCCTAAATAAGGTTTTCCTTGAAAATTCTGCCAGACCAAAGAAACACCCCAGAGTCCTGAGTCACCAGCAGTACCCCATGCTTCCTTAGTCCCAGGCCAGTTGAGAAAAGCAAAACAAGTACTTTTATTCATAACACAAGGTTTTATTTGAAATTAGACGGGAAGAACTATAAATATGTGGTGTGCTAATATTGTGTCTTTGATTCACATCTGGCGTGACATCTGCTTCACGAGACAAGGAGTACTGCCCATTCATGTGGGCAATTTGATGGAGAGTAAAAACCTCATTTTCCTACAAGGAAATAGGAAATGTTTTGTACTGCGACCAAAAAGAACATCAGGTATTTAGTGTTACGAGGTTATAAGCAAATTGAAAAATTAGACTCCCAATCCAGTGTGTCTCATGGGAGCTGGATTGGAAGGCTGCTGCCTGGCGGACATAGCCAGGCTCCTTCCATTACTCTAGCCTCTGTGGGCCCTCAGACCGAGGATAGACCCAAACACAGGTTGAAATGTTGTCATGAAAACCTCTGATCCAGTACTAGACTAACTAGAAAGGAGAAGAAGCCCTAATCAATGAGAAAACATCCAGAACCTGAAGGTATCAAAGTGTAATTTCAAATCTTTTGTGAAAACTTTTCTGTCCCCATTTTGTTACTAACTTGTATTGAGACCGTCGGTTTCAGCTAGATAGTTATGGACCATTCGGTCCTGGATTTGAATGAGGAAGAGCACAGAAGCCATTCAAAGTACATGGTCACTCAGATTTTATTTCTGAGTGACCATGGAGGTAAGTACTGATGTTAAATGGGGATCAGACTTGTGAATCCCACGTCTTGCTAGGTCACCCCAGATTTCTAGGATTGGTCCTGGATTTTGATACTGATTGAGATATAAATGCCCTCAAGGAAAGTGAGTTTGGCTACATGACAATGGTGTAACAGGGAAGCCTTGCATGGCCTTATGCTCTGGTCCTGCTATCCGGGCAGAACCAGAATTCCCAAGGTTGTCCCAACCCACAGGGGCCACTGCAGAGTTTCCCAAGGGACTGCTCTAAGAAACTAGTGGTCTTCATTCCTGCCCACTCCTTAATTTATATTTAATAATTTAATATAGCCTATCTGTCCAACATTGATGGGGATATTATTTGGGATTAATACGTGTGAGTTATAGATGAGTGAGTTTTGACCAAGTTTTGACTTACAACTTTCCTTTTTTTCAAATTCAGAGTAACAGACATAAACCTGGGGAGGCTGGTCCGTGGAGATGCCCATGAATGTTACATCTCACCTGTGGCCAGAGCTGTGATTGAACTTCTTGAAAAGTCAGGTATGATTGCTCCTTCAGAAATGCTGCAATTTTCTCTTTTTTGGGACTTAACTTGATTTGTTTTATTTTATTTATTTATTTATTTACTTATTTATTTAAAGATTTTATTTATTTATTTGACAGAGACACAGCAAGAGAG